AAGGTCTATAATTCAATGAAAGAGGACTAGGAGACAAGAAACAAGATTATTAGTGCAACCACACCACTGATTGGAAAACAACTATACAATTTTATAATACAATTCTCTCAACTGAATGTTTCAGGATTTTAAGGGTAGTATCGTATTACATTCAATTTCTCATTCATGGTGGATTTTAATCATGTATTTCATTCTATATTAGGATTGTTAATCCGCTTAGGTATACTAATTGCATAACGTATAAGCCAGAAATTCACATAAATACAATTTGTATTGTATATAGTATATGTAGATATCAGTATGCAACACAACATTAACATGAGTTGATTAAAAGGAAATACTGTACAGTAGTTGTTCCATTAGAAACACATCTCTAAAGAAGCTCACATACCATATTTGTTCCATTAGAAGCACATCTCTAAAGAAGCTCAAATACCATATTTGTTCCATTAGAGCACATCTCTAATACAAACTCACATACCATATTTGTTCCATTAGAAGTACATCTCTAAAGAAGTGCACATACCATATTTGTTCCATTAGAAACACATCTCTAAAGAAGCTCACATACCATATTTGTTCCATTAGAAGCACATCTCTAAAGAAGTACACATACCATATTTGTTCCATTAGAAGCACATCTCTAAAGAAGTGCGCATACCATATTTGTTCCAATAGAAGCACATCTCTAAAGAAGCTCACATACCATATTTGTTCCATTAGAAGCACATCTCTAAAGAAGTGCACATACCATATTTGTTCAATTAGAAGCACATCTCTAAAGAAGTGCACATACCATATTTGTTCCATTAGAAGCACATCTCTAAAGAAGTGCACATACCATATTTGTTCCATTAGAAGCACATCTCCAAAGAAGCTCACTTATCATATTTGTTCCATTAGAAGCACATCTCCAAAGCTCACATACCATATTTGTTCCATTAGAAGCACATCTCTAAAGAAGCTCACATACCATATTTGTTCCATTAGAAGTGGATCTCTAGAGAAGTGCACATGCTACTATTTAATAAAATGAAAAATCAAACATATATTCTAACAGACATTTTACCATTTCACTGTAATCAAATAAGAAGGAGACTGATCAATGTGTTCTCGTTCTTTAAGACCTACATTGTCAGCAACAATCACAAACATAACAAATGTTTGTTTGTTTTCATATTAACACCTTCATTTTCCCTTCACTAAACAACCTTCCCCATGAGTTAATTAAAGTGAACAGTATCAACCAAGATGAATGAAAGCATGACAAAAACCACATTTAATATTCAATTTAATTAAAAACATTGTTCAATTAAAAAAAAATTAAGGGCAAGAATAAAAACAAATCAGTAATGAAATGGTGACAAAATTAGGTGATGTCATTTTTGAAAAAATCTCATTGCATATTAATGGTGCATACGTGTACACTAAACAGCAAAGTACTTTATGCAGCAAATGTCTATGAAAATGAAAACATGTAATAAAACATAAAGCACCATATTCATGTTGCCACAATTGAATGCTCTAACCTAGTGATTGTTTCTAGTCAAAGTGTTTGGTACAATATGCCAGTGACATAAATCACAAAAATACGAACATAATGAAGAGTAATTTAAAAACAAATTTGTTACGGCACCCTTTTTATTTTTATCACAGTTAAATGAAAATTTCAGACTGGATAACAACACAACATTATTCATCTGTCACTGTATCTATCACTGTAATTTGATGGTATTGCATATCTTATCATTTTAGGAAAAGTAAACAATTACGAATTATTTTCAAGATGGCAGATATTTGGGGAAAACAAAGTATAATTACGGTACTATAAATAATTCATCATAATGCCAATTGCAGTTGATTTTGAAAAAAATATCACTAAAGGCTATATTTTTGCAAATAATCAAAAATCCTAACGGCAAATGCACATTGATTGATAAGCATAAATTATGTAAATTTACAATTTCAATGTTTTTTAACACTCAAAATTGTCATCACCAAGTTTATTCATAGAGTGGAATGATACAAAAAGGTACTTGTAAGGTCATGGACGGTATTATCCACTGACCTTGCACAACTGAACATCTACAAGGTCTATCCTCATACTTGATTAACTGCACAATCAGTCAGTACATAAATAGTGGCAATCACCGGCCGACTCACACTCACACAATGTCACACACTCACTTGGACATCATGCACAGAAACCATACAGGTACATGCACCTGTGGGTGTAATTTGATCTTGAGATTCTTTGGAATCCATACTAAGATTAAACCATAGACCCTCTACTGGAGGGTCTATGATTAAACTGAATGTACTCAGGTGGTGGCATAGTCAATTTGCAAAAACTGATTGCAGAACTGATATTTAGTTTGTTATCTCTTGCATTACATACAATTTATCCTGTGGTTATTTTATTAGCAGATTTTTCACTTAATTTTTACATGTACATTGTAAAGCTATTTAACATGCACTGACTAATACCAAACTATATATACAGACATTATGTATGTATAGCAAATGAACCACGTTTCAAACCAAAATTTTACTGACGGGTGATTTTGGAATGAAAGTTGTACTGCTTGCTAATCACCAATAGAAGTGCACATGAATAAAAAATGTTATGCTGGGTAATTTATATGTTCGTAAATGGTACTTGGATTGAAACAAAAATAAAAATCATTTAAATAATAGAAAATATTTACATGTATATTATTAAGATATGATCTGATGGAAAAAGACAGGCAGGCATCTGTCATCATAATACATCAAGCATACTGGAAACTACCAGTACTGAAAGCAGTTCTGACCACCCAAGTACATTGTGTATCATTAAAAAGTTAACGAACAGCAGTTTGGCAGTTAAAAGAGTCACTGACACAGGATTTTCAAGATTTTATATTCAAGTCAATCTATTGACTGAATGTGAACACTGAGGCTTTTATCAATGCAATGTAACCAGATCTACATATATACATATGATTTTTGGAGCTAGGTGCCCTGGGTGCTAAGACAGATGAGTATGGTATAAGCTAACATTCTCTGAAAGATGATGAAGTTAGTGATCTGGAAAGTTATTATCTTGTCAGGAAATTGCATGTCAGCTGATAATGTATGATTTATGACACATTTGAATATTTTAACCTCATTTCCTGAGTTAGTGCAATAGAATGAAGTCAATCCAAAATACAGTGTCTGTATAATATGCAACATATGTGCCAATGGGTGAGATTATAGCCTGTGGCAAAATAGTAATTCAATTACCCAGCTTGGCATGGCAGAACCATAATCTGTCAGATTTGGCATTTCAAAACCAACTTTATCAGTATTATAAAGTAATGATTTCTTTCCAAGGTGTAAAATTTGTGATTGCGTACTTACATTTTTATATATATGGATGATCACAGTGACTTGGGGTTTCTCTTTATCAATTGCATCTAGAAAAGTTGCTCTGTTAAGATGAAGAACTGAACCAAACATGGGTCTGTAATAAAACGAATAAAAAAAAGGATATTAAACATAAATCCCTTAGGAAATTACCATTTTCTTCTAATGGCCTGTAAATTTAGAGTTTAGGGGTATTTTCAGGTTCTTATCTCAAGAAAGAACATGGTTACTGCATTAAATTCCGTATAATCTGTGTAATCTAAAGAAGTTGAATTAAATATTATCTACTAAAAGTATATTGCATAAGCCCACTGGCAGGTCATATTAAAACTTGATAAAAATGGAGAAGCTTTTTTTAGATTTCAGTGAAGACCCATTCTCAAATCATGAATGACAGCCAATACAACAAAATACTGTACATACATGTGTATATTCATAAGTATTTTCATAAGCTGATTGTCCAAATAAATAATAAAATAATACTTATGGTCTGAACAAACTAAGAGTGTTATATTTCACATGAAATGCTGGTAGTAAATAAGCAATTTTAAAAATGAATGGATGAAAATAACATAACTTTGACACAAGAATTTTCTGAGAATGATTATTAATTTTATTTATTCCCAGTGACATGGTATTTGAAAGTTTAGAGTAAAACCTTGGGGTGCCCTATTAGACTAGTTTCTGAATTCCGAGTCATATAATCTTTATTGCGCACGTATCCTTATTAGGATTTTGAATATATTTTATCATATTTGAGTTGGTGAAATATTTTGTTTTGTTTTTGTCTGGTTTTGAAACAGTTCTCTATGTATTTTGCTATTTGTATTATTGTTTTCTCATCTTTATTACTAAAAAAAAATATTTTTTAGTTTTTCTTTATTTTTTGCTAAATGTGGAGGTGATAATCGCTGATAACAAATTTTTCTGTCTCCTACATAAACATTACATGTTAACATGAAATGTATTTTGACCAATATTCAATTTAAAATGGCAACTAAAATAGGGCTTATTGCTTAAGGGGAAATCATCAAAAAGTAATTGTTTCCATGGAAACATCTCACTCCCAGACTACAATGTGAATTAAGCCTGACTGCATGAATTATGAAATAACATTGTGGTTCCCAATTATGACCCCTCCCCATGTCAAAATGAATTGTCTCTGATTTGAATGTTTCTGTTCAGAGAGAGGGCTAACACCAGAGATGTGACAGAAAACTATTTTCATATCTCTTCATACTGTGATCATTTTCACCAAAACTATTTCAATTACGGCTATTTTCACAAAACAAGATGACCTATACCAACTGTGATGGAATATTGCACCCTGGGGTTAAATACATAAGGCTAACAAACAGTGCCTCTTAACAACTGTATTATGTCAGTTTCAAACCAGCTGTTCAATTTGATGCAAACATATAAATATAAGATATGTAGTACAGCAATAGATGTTGTCTTAATATTACATCAACCAGTGGAACCTAAGCCATGTGCTATTCAAAATACTGTAATGAATCCAGGTTTGAGTTTGATAACACTAGTAATGAGTTGATATCAATAATATTATAGTACATTAATGTTTCAATTACTATATTTGATCTGTTTGTGCATTTACCTCAATATGGGTGTAATATTTTAATGAGCCAGTATAAGGAAATTTGGCCGAAAGACGAACAGAATGAACTCTGACCTGTAACCTTCAAAGATGTTAACTTTTAATAGACTTAAATTCTGAGAAAACTATTATTTAGCTGCAAAAAAAAATTAATGTATCTGGTCAGCATGTGCACTACAAAAAAAATTTCGGCCAACCTTTTTTTTTGCTTACTTTACCACTGCACAGCGCCCTCTATCGACAAATTGATTAAAATATTTGGCTTCATTGGATTGAATCAGAGACAAAATAATATGGATATGTAATGTAATTTATGGTCATCATTACAATTTTGAATGAAATTGTCTCATACAGGTACAGTCAACACTGTAAAATAGTTGTCAATCTTCAAGAAGAGAACCCCGCTATACATGGACATAATGGAAAAGAAAATGGATGACAGCTGGATAGTATTCAAAGTCTACGTGTAATAATAAATAAAACTGAAAAATGAATTAGAACTTGAAACAATTGTTAACATGTATGAATGCTGAATAATCTCAATCAGTATGAGAATAAGGAATGTGAGAGATATAACTGTGGAACAGCAGTCATTAAAACAAAATGACCACCAGTCAGCCATTTTCAATCTGATCTGAAAAACAAAATGAATCACACAGTGGTTTATCTGGGAGATAGTTACAACGGGTTCTTCCATTACCAAAGCACTGAATCACACAGTGGTTAATCTCTCACCATGAGGAATGAGTTGGCGCCTTAATTTCAAATGCATTTCATACAAGTCTTTAGACAGTTCACCTCATCAACATGTCATGGTAACAAATATTTAATAAACCAGTAAGTTAAACCTCTAAAGTAAGTCATGTGTCAAGAATTAGTTGCCAGGACAGTGGCAGTCAGGTTGGTAAATTGGTACAAATTGGTATTAACAGTATACTTTCCACATACATGTACACAGTTAAGCTAAGGCTAACTAGTACATGCATGTATGTTTATTATCAAGAATAATCTGAGTAGAAGATAATAAAAGCCATTAGAACAAAAATAAAATAAAATTAACAATGACAAGCATGCCAGAGAAAAACATTCTAGAAAACAAAATGGCCACCATTTGACCAAATTAATTTGTTAAACAAAATGACACGCACCCAGGTCTCATATTGTTGAATGTACCGGTATGTGCGAGGTTTGAATGCACACATGACTGAGATCTGGTTCTCGAAACGGCAAAAATGTGTGTTTTTGATGCACTTTCAGCACTTTAAAATGGCCATCGGTCTTGAATCAGACTCTGAAACAAATGATATGCATATGAGTGACAGGATGTATGATGTCCAGGAATATCTGAGATGGATGGGTGGACAGACACACGGACACATGCACGCACAGCCAGCCATCTGTTTACCTGTCATTTTAGACGGGCACAACATCGTATTTGATATTCTGAATTTCTACAAACATGGACAGGAGAAAAATGTTTTTACAAAATAGCCAAAAGAACTGTGGCTATTTTCTTGAATTTTAATACAGAATTTAGAGTATTTTTCATTTTCTTGAATTTTAATACAGAATTTAGAGTATTTTTCATTTTCTGGTTATAACTCTAATACACAGGTGAACCGGTCATGCAAGATTAGGACAATATCTGGGTTTTGTTTATATGGGATCATTAGTAAGCTGATTACGATGTTCCATTTTCATACTAATAAATTAGAATAATACACTTAGGAGTGAATTAAAATAGATATGACGTATCAAGTTAATGCTTCCAGACAGCCATTTGGTGTGACTTTTATGATACATGAATTTCTGTACCAATTCTAAACACACAAACCATATTTCTTAATTATCACTAAGACTGAGCATAAATCATTTTGCTCTGCAACATTAAACATTACCTAAAGGCTCAACAAAGCAGTTAATTTATTTTCTCCTCAACCATTGAGTATAACTTATAATTCTTACCAATCTTTTATTGCACAACTAGAGACGCCTGCAGAACCAAAATTTGCAGTGTAAATCACTCCGGCAACGGAAAATCTGCAATAATAGCCAAGAGGGTGAGGGACTGCATTTCGAAAACATATTTTATATATAAGGTATATAATTATTGGCGGAAATACATTTTGATATTTCTGTTAATATAATCAAGAATTCAAAATATGTTATACTCTCAGCCAGGTGCACCTACCAAAATACAGCATCTAAATTTTCAAATGTCTGATTCAAATGTTTTTCAGCCTACTAGTAAGTGTATAGTGGTTTTATAATTAAAATTGAAGCTTATGTCATGCAAAATATACAATCTGTTCAATTTAAGTATTAAAGTAATATCAGACATCCAGTCCAAGATTAGTAAACATTGCACAACCTTAATTGAATGCCCATTTCAATTTAATGAATGATAATAAACAGTACAGTATCTCCGTGCAGTACATGTATAGCATGGGGTATCTGTCTGAATTCTTAGGAAATGTGAATTTTAGGTCAGGGATAGCAAAATCCAAACTACCACAAGCATTGCTAACTGCAGAGACTGTATGACAGAAACTATTTTTATATCTCTTTATATATTCTGTGATCATTTTCACCAAAACTACCTCAATTATGGACATTTTAATGAAACAAGATGAACTATACCAACTGTGATGGAAAAACACCCTGGGGATGAATACATAAGGCCAACAAACAGTGCCTCTAAAGAACTTTATTATCTCAGTTTCAAATCAGCTGTTCAATCTGATGCAACCATATAACTATAAGACATGTACAGTATTAAAGCAATAGATCTTGTTTTAATATCACTGGTACATCAACCAGTGAAACTTAAGCTCTGCGCTATTCAAAATACTGCAAATTAAGCCAGGTTCCAAATATGGGACCATTACACAGTATTTCCAAAATAGGGGAATGATTGAAAATGTAATTCATTGCAAGAATGTACCACTAATTTCCTTGATTGGTGCTCTGTTCTGTGCATTATAAACTCATGATTGAAACCGGAAGATGCATTAAGGAGTAAGTATTTTTTGAGAAAATTGGTCATAATTTGCATGACAATGTTTATTGGTTTATTATGTACAATCATGAAGCTATTGTCCCATTTCTCAATAAAATAGTGTATTTTGCATGACGTTTTTTGAGAAACTTGTCTTAACACAATGTTCACACACAAATTTTAAGACTACACATGTATTTAAAACCCAGATTTTACTAATAATTCAAGACAACAATAAGTACCCCATCATTACCAATATATATTTTTTTCAGCGTATATCACCAGCCTACATTCTACATTTTAAGATACACTGTATGGCATAATATCTCTGCCGTAGGAACCTATGGTTGAAGCGTTACAACACTGCCAACACAGCAACTATCCACTAATAAACAACTATCACTTTTTCAAAAATTAGGCAGGTGACCCCACCCCGACCTCATTTTTAAAGTCAATATCCCTATATTGCCCTGGAGTACAATTT